GTGTAACCCATAAGGTTCCAAAACTGGCTCATTTTTTTGCATCAAAAAGTTTATCGATATGCTAATTAGTTGGTATTTCATTCCAATTGAATTACTTCTTTCTAAGAAAAAATACAAAAAAAATCATACATTCTGCTCTTGCCCTGCCTACTTCTGATGGGGTTTATTACAAAAGATGAAAAAAAAAAAACCTGAAAAAGATCATGATTGGTATTTGTAATTCTTTTGACTAGCATTTATATTATTCTCTCTACATATGGAGGAATTTCTGCAATAGGAAAAGGCTAATGGTGTTTATTAAGTGTGTTCTTGCCTATATTCCTGCATATTTATTAAAAAAGACAAGGTTGAAAGAATGCATCCTGTTGTTTTAAGTGCAGAGACTGATTGTTACAGAGTGAGAGTTTATTTTATGGTCTTGAGCCAAACTCAACAAAGTTTTGCCTCCCACTGGTATTAGAGTGTGCCTTGTTACATAATCTCTTATTCTGGAGGCAGTTATCCCTCATGATCACCAATCCAGAGGTTTAGATGCCTAATTTTAATATTTTAAAAAATGTTCAGACTCTACACAATTTTCCAGTGGAGGTATAAAACCCCTTTATAGTTAATTTTTACATACTCACAGTATATTTGGGCACTGTAGATAGTCTTAGTGACCCTTTAGAAAGTAATATATGGATTCCCTTCCATGATCTGTAGACAAGAATTTTATGCCCACTGCTTTGTCTATAATGACTGAAAAAAGAACATACATGAATAACAGATAAGATGTAAAAACTCAATTTTGCTTGAATCACTTGTATTTAAGAACATTAAAATCCTTCCCATCTTCTAGATTAAACATTCTTCTCAAGTCAGCATGATTTTCACAGGCTTGTCATCTGAACATGCAGACATGTGAAAAGAAGAATGTAGTTTTGCATATGAAATTATTTTCTACAAATGAGGATGACCATATAATTTATAAACACAATAAGAACAAGCAGCTTACTGTAACAAACCAATTAATTGCTAGAAGCAGACTTAATACTGTATCCTATGGAAAACTAGTGCTTGCATTTCCCATAAAAACAAAAGATTAAGTCTTCTTACTTTAAAATCACTGGCAACTCTGCCTTTTATTTTATTTGCAATTCCTTCCTGTGCATGCCACCATCCATTCTACACAATATTGGCAGGATACCAAAGAGGCAGTCTGCTTTTAAACTTGTAATAGAAAAATGTTGAGGATCAAATTCTGTTCCTTCTATGAAAATATGAAAGGGCTCAACTGCGGCCACTGAATTATTAAGGGCTTACATGAGTGTTAGTGAAGATGGGATCTAGTTTAGGATTTTTTTGATTATAAAAAGTGCTTTCTTCCTTGAAGCTGTTCGATGATGTGGTGGGTTTTTTTTAATATGAACATTTGATTAATTCACAATATACAATAGCTGCTGAAGTATGTGAAAGATCCTCATGAGAGAGTGATGGAAGAAGTCAGAGTTGCTGTGATCTCTTGCCCAAGTCTTTGAGAGGTAGTTTATGCTTCTGCTAGCAATGTTCAGTATATCAGATACCACATTAGTTCTAAAATAGCAAATGGCTGCAGTTACAAAACACACATTAAAATTCCTGCAAGAGTCAGAAAGAAGTTTCTTCGCTCCTTAAAAATATTCACGAGGTCCATACAGTTTTTAATGAGTTTCCTCATTGTTGTTTGGGTGAAAACAGCTGTAGCTCTTCCTGCTCTCTTTCTGCTGTCACTTGTTCTGCAGTTGGGAGAAAGTTTTAAGGAGTGGAGGCATGGCTACTGCCACCCTGAGATTGCCCAACATAAGAGCAAAAGAACTGTCTTCTGCAGCAGGATGCTTCCTCTTCATCTCCTTCCTCTCTCCTCCAATTCAGCTGTTGATTAACGTCTCTAAGTTTTTCATAATAGTCTTTTGTAATAGCTTTGTTACATAGGAAGAGCTTTTTCAGTACCAGCATCCTAAAAGTTTCTAGCAGTATCACTCCACACTTACATGAGGCCAGAAGAAAGACTTCAACCAGCTGAGAAGTAAGTTTTCCATTCACGCTTTTAAGGTGTGAAAAAGCACACACATAACTACACAGTTGCTATGAAACAGAGACCTACAACTCAAAATAGCAGCTGTTGTCTGTATGATGAAATAAATCCCCTTTATTTCTTCTTTAGACAGTAGACAAGTTATCTTTACTATTTAATCAGTATGAAGATAATAGTTGGATTTTTAATCTTTCTTAGCTTGTTGGCATACTTACTGGAAATGTCAACTTAATCACACTGGGTGAAACAAAAACTGGAGGTTATTTAAGCTGATTCTTTTTTCTTTTTTTTTTTTTTTTTTCTGTTTAATTGCATATCCTAAATAAACAGTTTGTTTTGCTGGCTCCAAAATTCTTCATGTCTGAAAGGTCTATTTCTTAGAAAAGTTGCCCTGTTAAATTATTTGGTACAGACAATGCTTTTTCTGTAGCCTTGGAGGACCTTTAGGACATAGCTTATGAGTCAACCCACATGGACCAGTTTTAAATGCTAAAGGAGCATCAGACTCCCATTCTTCATGGTACAGTTGGTTCATGCTGACAGTTAGGAGATGCCTTTTTTGCTGCTTTTGGTCAGGATCTCTTTACATTTTATGACATTAATATAGAGTGTGTTATTTCCACTTGAAGCATTCGCCCATTTCCTATCCCATCATTCCACAAACACTTGTATAATCTACAGATGCATGACTTACTCCACCTGTTGGAAACTCTCCACAAACCCCACTTCATCAGAATTCCAGCCTAGGATATTTAAGGGAGATTTCAATAAGATTATATGTTGAGCCTTGAATTTCATAAGCATAAAAACTGCATTTGCCTGAAATAAACCATTTACAGAGAATGTTTTCAAGCATTTTGCAATAGGAGAACTATTAAAGTGTTAAATGTGATTTATTATTAATTGTGCTGTATAGCACAGATGGTTTCTGCTTATATTTACTACCACAGTAACTGCATTATAAAATAAAGACAAGATTCTGTACTTCATGACAAAACATAAAATGAAGAGAATTGTAAATTTAGAAAAACAGATTGGTTAATAGACCAGGAAAAAAGCAAAATGTATATTTACCACTCTGTGTGATTTTCTTAATGAGCAAAAGGAATCAGAAGAAAAAGCACTGACTTACCGAAACCTATTTTCTTTAGGTAGGGTGTTATTGCATGAATGATACTGTCCTACATGCCATGAGCAATCTATTAGTTTAGGTGGTTTTGAAAGTGGGCACCTATAGCTCCTCATCAGCATTTTCTAGCTTAGGTAGGGAAGAGGAAGACCTTGTTTCTAGTTCTGTTAGTGAATTTTCAACATTAGAAAATAATTCTAATTAGAGCCATGAATACTGTATTTGAGCCATACTATGGGACTGCAATTCAAAGCTGTGTCTGAGCCCTGGATTTGAAGAAACCATAGCTGTAATCTGCTTATACTTTGGGAACTGGAGAGCCCTGAGTCCATAGCACCACTGAGGGAGCCGTGCTTTCCCATCACAGCAAAATGATCTGTGATTCCACCCTTGACCATGCCCCTTTCACCATTCCTCATCCAGGGCTTCAAGGAGAACCTCTGAGGATAATGTCTCCCCTTGCTCGTGACAGGGCAGTTCACTCGTGAAGGCTTTTAGGGTTTTCACCCTAAATGAGTTACAGCCCTCGCTAGCTGTATATCTAACAAGAATTCATGGAGGTATAAACCTTTGCAGAACTGGCAGAGGGTATAAGATCTAGCAGGCTCAACTATAGGAAACATTCATTGTACAGCTAAGAGTTGACCACCAGTATTTCATGAAGACCTGTCTAGAATGAAGTGACAAAACAGCAGACCCCTAAACAAGTATAACAGTTCAATCCAGTATTTCATCCTGTACCTGAAGACATATTAAAATAAGGTGTATTGATATGGCATTGAAATTTTTTAGGAGTGAAATACCATTTCTCTATTCATGTTTTCCTTTTTAATATTTTTTAAAATCTTTTTCAAGCTTCCTTCTTTTTGATCCAAGAGGACTGCATAAATATGCATTTATCTTTAAAATTCAGTTAAAAATTCAAACCATACAAGATACTGCTTTAAAGTATATAATCTGGTATGTGATGATACATCTTCAAGCTTCACAGGTATTTTCTTCAGCAGGAAAAAATAAAATTCACAAGGAATTGTTCTGTTGTGGAACATTTGACAGCTTGCATTGGTACTGAAGAGGTAAAGACAGTAAAGGGTAATCAGGAAGCTGGTGCTGAAAATGGTACATAATTTCGGTTACTCTAATTTTTGTAAACCCAAATTGAACTCTATTTTTTTTTGTCCAGCAAACCTTCAGACAGTGTTTATTTACCATGTGAAAAACTGAATATTATATGAATGCATAGGCTTTTTCATTAAAAAAAAAAAGTAAAAAAAAAAAAAGTAAAAAACCATCATAGGCTTAGCAAATCACAGAGTGCAACTGAACAGAACATTTTTTAAATATGCATGAAATAGAATGTATTTGTAACATAGTTTGCACTTGGTCAGTTCTTGATTACCGAAAGCATGGGATGTAAGACTTAGAGATGTATCTATTATTCTTTGGGAAAATGTCTAATATTTGTCGTTAAAACAATATATTTTGACATTTGTCAGTAGACTGCTATGATTTTAGGATTTTTGTAGTGGTGAAAGTCAACACTTTGTGCTGGTTTCTGTTCCAGACAATCCCCTTGAAACACTGAATGCATTGAATTGCAGACAGAGTTCACCAGAAAATATTTGACTAAAATTATGTCTGAACTGGTGAAATATGCCTCAAGAGTTCCCCAATACATGCTGCAATTTGAGAAAAAAACACTCTTGTCAGAAGAACTGCTTGTAGTTTGGGTTTTTCAATGACTGCAGCTATGGGCTTGTTCAGACTTCAGCTAGCTGTTACTCTCTTGTTTAATCCATGATCTGTATCTCCTTTTAGGATTGGTGGAGCTGTGCCAACAGTTTTCTCCTATTTTTCGGAAGTACTTGCTAGGGAGAAACGAGGTGAACACCTGAGTTGGCTCTGTATGTTTTGGATGATTGGTGGCATCTATGCTTCTGCAATGGCTTGGGCAATAATTCCTCATTATGGTAAGAAGAACACCTCCTTTTGATTTGTAGCTCTTCCAGTTTGAAAGTAAAGCTCTTGAAATATAGTTTAAACAGAGGACTTCATGTCTGTTCTCAAAATACTGACCCTGCTGTTAAGAAAAAAATGTATTCCTTTTGATGTAAATAATACGAATGGGTTGTACCCTAAATAAAAATATGAAAAGGCACAAAAATTAGCTAATACCCATATTTAGTCAGATTCTTTAAATTCCTGAAAACCTAGACACATGAAATTATAATTAGTGTCGTTGAATCTGGAGAAAATAGGTGATGTGGAGACTTGGATCAGAGAATATAAATTTTAATTTCTGGATGTCAAATCTATGCTAGATTGGTTTGTTTTATACAGAGATGTCAATTACACGTTCTTGAGAAAGTAGAGCAAGGGCTATCTTGTTTGCAGTCTTAGATCTGAAGATAAAACTGTGCTGAATGTTTCATTCTTATAGATCTCTTTAATAGTCTAGATAAATTGAACAGTGTGCACTGTTCATGCTGCAGGGATGAATGAGGACAGATAAGACAGAAAGCTTGCCATAGCTGAAGCTGTATACACATGCAATATAAGCCACTTTGTGAAAGAGCTCTTTACTGCCCTGACGTGGTTAAACATTATGTGGATGAACAAATTAAATTCTTAGTCTCTTGGGTTTGCCTTTCAGAAGAGTTAAGATCTTACAGATCTCCAGAATTGCTGAGACTGCTTAAGGGTTCTTAAAAATCAGTCTCTTCAAGCACTTCTCCCCGGCACTCCTTCAGACAAGTGAAGTGGCATTGTGAGTTAGCTAGCAGCCAAAGCAGCTTTCTTTAGCCAAGTAACGAGGTTTATTGCAGTTGGATTGTGAAAGAGAGGACAACTTCATACGGTTTTCCTAAAGTGATTGAAACATTTAGCAAGTGGTAATGTCCAGAAAGAAATTATAATAATGCAGACTAATTAAATATCTGGACTGTTAAATTAAAAATTAATGTTATAGTCCAATACACACAACCTGAATCTATGTCTTCAACCTTGCCTTTGGCTTTGAATTGTTGGAATCAAAGAGAGTAATTTTTTTGCTGACAAATACAATGTAGATAATTTTTTTTTCTTTTCCCAGTGAGTAAATTACTCTGCATGCCAAGTACTTTTTGCTTTCCTATGGATTTATTTATTTATCTTTCAGTGGAAAATTCAAACATTATGACAGACTGATTTACATAGATTGTCTAATTTCACTGTAGCTTTTATGAATCAATATCTCAATGAATAATAATACACTTCCTTATACCAAAGCAGTGGCACTAGAGGGAAAAATGTTCTTTCTTTAGCACTGGAAGAATATTTGCAACAAAAAGCCATGCTGCACTGATTTTTTGTGTGTGTGCCCTTCTGCAAAAGTGTTTATTAAATAAGACAAAAGAATATAAAAAAACAATTTTAAAATACAGTATTCTTCAGTGTTAGCCATATAAATCACTTTTCTTGGAGTGTACTAAGAAAAGTTGTAAAAGTTAAAAGGAAGCCAAAAATCAAGCTATCAAAAACAAAACAAAACAAAACAAAACAAAACAAAACAAAACAATCCTTTCTCATGGGAAATTATATGGGTTTACACATCATTTTAGCAAAATTAAACAGAATATATTTATGGGTTTTGATGAAGTCCTAAAATTGTCTTCACTTCAAAATAGAATTTTTCATTACATAGTGAAGTTTTAAACATGTGTCTTAGTTCCTAGTACAAACATGGAATCACCCCAGCTCAGGACCAAGGACAAACTGCTTTGCTGTCACAATACTGTGCGAAGGTCTCAGACATTGCAAGGTCTCCCAGGGCAAACCCAGCTCTGGCACTCAGAAGACTGTGGTCACATATTGCTGTACCCTCCTGAAAAACTCCATGTCAGGCAAATATGAGAGAAGATCTCTGCACTATTTGTATCATGTGAATTCATGAAGAGGCTCTTGTAGTGGTATTTCCTCTTTTACTATTTCTACATGGTTTCCATGGAATTATTTTGCCAGAATCAAGCAAAGATACATATTTTTATCTAAATCACTTCCAGTGCTTCTCATAATTCACATCTCCACTGACTAGAAAGCAAAGTATAAACAAAGGAACCCAACAACTTATGAGACTCATTTATATAGTGCATAAGGATTTCTGTGCTCTCTGCTTCTCACATAAGGAGTAAACAGACTTGATTTTTCCCAGCTGAACTCAGAATTTACTCAACATCAGTGAATGAAGTTGCATCTGTTGAAAAGCAATAAGATGCCATTGAAAATAGTGGAATTATTCTTAAATGAATAGAAGAATACCAGGCCAACAGAATAGAATAATTTCATAGATATTTTTTCCTCGCTCTTTTGTAAATGCATTCCTTCCATTTGTACTGCCTCTTACATAAGCCACTTTAAAAAGTCCTAGATTCACAGCCAGTATATATTATCTAGACCAAGGCAGCCAGTGAAACTATCTGTACAACTTTACCAGTTGAACATTTAGCTCTATCTTTCTGTGAGAAAACAAAGATTATATTCTCTATATGTAATAGTTTATCTCCATTTCTGCTGAGCAGCACAGGAGTGTCTGAAACCTGAGTAATGCTTTGAAACACAAAATAAAGAGAAGCTAACAGTTACCTTCATATGAGCATGTTGTTAAGAGAGGAATCAGCCTGATGTAGTGGTGCAGTGACCACATACAGAAAAGCTAATATAATCTGGAAGACAAGCATTGCTGTCTCAGGGCTTCTTAAATTCTATAGCTGTTGGCTTTGGTTTAAAATTTGAAAATGTATATAGATTTTTTTCAAGGTCTTGGAAAGAGCAAGTCATGGAGAAGCTATTGGAAGAAACATCTTCAGAGAAACACTTCTAACTGCTGCCATTTAACAAAGTCTCGGATAATGCTGCTACAAAAATATTGCTTTATGCACTACTTAGATCAGGCTGGATAGGAAGAAAAATCACCATTTTATAAAAAACTGTGGAAGTGCAACTTTAAATTTAGCATCATGTTTCCAGGTAGATTAGTTCAAAAACTGTCAAATGCATCAAATGTGTATTTTAATATTCTTTAAAATGTTGATTTTTAAATTTATGAAAAATCTTGTGTGAGAAATTATATTTCAGTTTAAAATCCATATAGTGATTTAATTTATGTGGTCATCTATGGATAGGAATCAAAAAGAATTATACAAGTTGTTCCAGGCATTTTACCCCTATAATTAAAAACAACAAAAGAAAGTTATGAAATCAGTTCTACAAAAATACTTGTCTGCCATGCATATATATTATTTTACATAAAGGAAAAGTTGGGTTTTGTTGCACCATATCTCCAAACAAAACTTCAGGGGAAGCTGAATAAGGATTTCAGTGTAATTAACCTATTAGTTTTGGTATTCCAGATAGTTTTATGTTTTGCATATATGATATATATCAGTCTTGTCTGGCTTCATAAACTACAGCAAAACCTTCCAAAATTTGAAACATTCCTTATTTTGCTTAGTGACAAACAAATATTGTCTTTACTGATTTTTAAATCTTATTCCTGAACAAGAAGGGGCATACATGGCCAAAAAGAAATTAGCTTGCAAGGCAGAGAACAGGATGGTGCAGGTGTCCAGGCTGCTACAGCATGAGCTGCACTTGAAATCTGAAGCTTTCCTCACACTCTAACCCCTACTTCTGGTATTTACGAGGGCAGAAAGAAGAAACCATGTCAAATGGCTTTAGGGAACAATTAGAATTTTACTAAAGAAAGCCTTTTTTTTTTCTGAATATTTAATTGGTGGGTTTTTTTTTTTTAAAAAAAAAAAGATAACTTTTTTACAGTAACACAGAACTTAAAAATGCAGACATAGAAGTGTCCAAATGATGGACTCACACTTGACTTGCAAAACATTGCATTTAAAAGATTAATGGTAACTCCTCTTTTTAAAATGTTTAATTGTGTTTTCTACTGGAAATTTTGTATTATCTTCCTGGTTTGTAAAATATGTTTGCTCCTATATTACTCTGAAGATCTTTGCCTTTTACTTCTACCAATATCCTTAAGTAAGTTTAAATGGCAGAAACTGGGAATTAGTTTAGATAGGAAAGAAGTTAAGTTTTAAATACAGATGTAGTAAAGTACTAAGAAAAACTACCAAATGCGATCAAAGAATCTCCATCGCTGGAGGGTTTTAAGGGCACAACAAACCACAACCTGTCCTCAATACCTCAATAGGGCCACACTAATTTTACCACACCCACTACTGGATTCTTGTTGCCCATTCTTAATTCTACTTTCCATAAGTAGATCAGTCTTTTCATAGGCACAGAAGTCCATAAATTATTGCTATTTCTAACCAAGTGTAATTGTGATTAGAATGGACCAATCTGCTTTTGAGCAAGTGGTTTGCAAAGTGGCCTGAAAAATATTTCTCCATTTGTAGCAGAGGATTGTTAAGGTGAAGCAGATGAATTTGCCTGAAGAAATTAACTTTACTGGCAGTTGAAAAGATCTTTTTATCACATTTTTCTAGGTGGCTTAAGAGTAGTTTCTGAAGTATTTTCTACTGTCATGTTTGCTTTGTTCTTGTTGGAGCCATCCATTTGGAGATTAAAATGGTAAACATATCTTCAAAACTGCAATAAAATCCTCTTTTGTATGAAACAATTGTGAACTATACTGTAATAAAATAGGCAAGGAGGTAAGCAGAGTTGCATGCAGCAGCTATGTAGATGAGGAGATGGAGAGTTTCTGGCTCACAGTGCAGCTCAGAGCATGTACAGCACCAGGCAGTGTTAATGGAGAAGTTAGTCTCTCAGCCTGAGGAAGGCTAAACTGAGAACATGATGGACTAAAACTATTCAGTGCCAATGAATTCAGAAAAACTTTTAACTCCTAAACCAATGCTATGTATTATGAGTGGGCCTATAGGGCATGGTGAGTACTTAATCAGCAATAAAAGCAGAAGGATCTTAGCTCATTCATATTCCAGTGCTT